GGTACCATCCCTGTCAAGGTCAGGACTTTCAGCCTGACACGTGGAAACACTACTGTGTCTCATTTTAGAAGGTGAGTTTAGAAGACTCACATCAGGAAACAGAAATAGGAGCTTTCAATCAAAGGAGTATTTCTTTTATCTTGATCTGCATCTATATTTATACATCATTAAGGATAAATTACAAGTTGTGTTGGATCCAGATGCTTGTGGACTAACTTGAGTTTAGTGGTTTGGGGAAAAATTCCAATCTGTGATTCTTACTAGATTATTTCACCCACGTGGATCTGAATTGATCAACACTGTTTCAAGATTTGAAAATACTGAACATCTGGCAAATGTTTCAACTTGAAAGTATTAAAAATGTCCCCATCTTTCTCCAAAGAACGTTAATGGTCATTGTCTCTGGATAACCCGTCATTCAATGGTCCGTTTAAGAAAAGACTAAAGAGCAGGTCTGGTATGACTGACTGAGAACATGATAGTAATTGCCAAGTGGCCCTTGTTATTAAATATGACGACAGGCAGTTCAGGACCCCAGGACGGAAGGTCAGGTCTTCTCCCTCCTGGCCTGATGACGTCTCTGAGGACCCAGCAAAAGCACCGCTCACCTTCACCCACTGACTCCTGCTGAGCCCTGGTTTCGGCTCAAACTGTGCTGAATTCTAAGGTTCAGTAGAAACCAGAGTCGGGGTGGGGGACACGTGGGGACTCTCTATCAGGTTTCTGTAGAGCACACATTCCAACTGAAGGAGCAACTCTGAGCACATGAGGTCATCAGTACCACACTGACATAACGGTTATATCCACGCTTTTCTCCTACAGGAGCCAAAACGCAGAAAGTAAAAAGGAGACAGACGGCATACAAGAGACAATGGAATTGCAAAGAAACTTGTAAGGCAATTAATTCCTAAAAAAAGAAGAAAAAAAAAAGAAAAAGAGAAAAAAAATCTCATAAAAAGAAAAATAATCTTTAATGTCTAGAAATTCCAAGAAAAAAGCTTACAAGTCAGAAAAAAATCAACAATTCTTCCAATTATTCATTCCTATGGGAAAAAAAAAACGTATACAGGCAATGTTGAGAATAACCGTGACTGGGAGGCAACACTGTGGGAAGAACGTGTGTTCTCGGGTAAGGTCTGGGCTTGCGTTCCAATTCTCAATCGAGCCATCCTTTCAGATATGAACTGGAGCAGGATGACAATCTCCCAGCCCAGGAGAACCGCTGTGGGGCTCCAAAGGAACAACACGCGGGAAAGAACTGGGCAACGTAAGCCACAATATAAAGGGTGACTAGGGTGTTACCACCGTAATCCACTGCGTCTTCAGCAACAGAAGACTTTAACAAGACAGTAGAATAAAAAACTTGAGTAGTGACTTACAACAGACTCTCTCTCCTTTACAACAACTGGGTTATTCAGTTCCATTCCTTATCAAGGAGGTTTTTAAAAATTACAAGGGTGCATCTTTAACAAGAGATTGGACGGTGGAGGTTTGGAAACTGGGTTTTGTAAGAACCAGCAGGGGGACTGAAAAGCCTTGGAGGTCAAGAAAAAAAATCAGAAGAGGTGTGAGAGAGAGAGAGAACTGTCTTCTTGGAAGGGTTGTGGCATAACACCACTGTGGAACAGACTTGTTCTGTTCTGTGACAGGGACAGACGGACAGCAGATGGAGACCATGATCAGGAAGGTTCTGGGAAGAACGGTCTAACAGTGAGAGCAGGTCCCAGGGAATAAGCTGCTTCAGAGACAGACAATGTCAGCCCATGGAGGTGTCAAGCAAAGACGGAAAGCAAGCTCAGCTAGTCACTAGTGCCTAGATACCTCCATTAAAGAGAGGTCCTACAAGTTTTACCTGAATGTTATCATCAGCGGACTCTGGGGACCCTGATACAGCTCATCCAAGGTCCCAGTTCTCTCTCCCAGCAGCAGGAAGAGGGGGAAGAGCAGCAGATACCCTCGCCATGGCTTCTCGGTGAATGCATTGCACACTTCCTTGCCCCTTGACTTTGGACTTGGAGGTGTGACTTGTGCTGGCCAATGGGATGTTAGCAGACATGACACAAGGTTGCCTTTTTGTGCTTCTGTCAGCAACATCATGACCACTGCCCCTTCTGCACAGGCCCCAAAATGAGACATGTGGTGCAGAGCAACCCTCGCTGAGCTGGAGGTGACCCCAGCCCACGCCAGAGCTGCCTCAATTGACTTACAAACCATTAGTGAGAAAGGAAAGCTTTTTCTTTTGTACGTCACTAAAATTTTGAGGGTTGTTTGACAGCTGGCAATAGCTGACTGATACAACACATCTATCACAAAAGATACGTTAAAAAATGAAGCAGTGCTGTCTAACTGTGTTACTATATTAACAAAGGACCCTGTTAGAAACTGGTCTATCCAACCATCTGCTTGACCATCAGAG